GTGTAAATGTATTACTTTTGGTCAAATTATTTTATGGGGTATTTCCTATACCTAAAGTTACCAAAAAATATGTTGAAATAGCCTGTCACGCAAAAAATATGTTGAAATAGCTTGTCCTTATTTTAGGTCACTGAGCCACTGTTTAATATATAACATTAGTTTGAATCAATCAAATCTATTCAGTTATTTATCATGGAATAGCAAATTATACCAGAAATAAAAATAAACTTTGTAAAAAAATATTTATTATTTTCTTCCTTCATTTTAAACCTTATTAATTAATAATTTTATGTAACAAAATTTTCTAAATCAGTCTCATTTTTAGCAAACAATGTATCTTCGCATTACACATGTTAATCATATTACTAAAATAATGTTCTTACTTACTATAATCAATGGCAATATTTCAAATAATAATATTCAAGTTGTCGTATCACACACAATACTAATTAGAAATATAGATACTTAAAAAAAGAAAATTTTAAACAAATGTATCAATCAATAAATCTCAGTGTGGAAGTTATAAAAACAATTTCGTTCTTTAGTTAGGCACAAGTGAATGTTGCACTTCTTGCATATAATTGTGCTTTTCTTTTTGCATTCTGGTCTTCTGCACCTGTTTTGAACTTTTCCAGCCGACGGCAAATGGAGTGCACCATGAGTTCTTGAACTGGCGCTGGGAAGCGGTACAGCTGGTCTAGAGCGTTTAGGTCGAGACTGTTCTTCGTTTTCTGTTTCGGAACTAGTGGTGAAATTAGCAGTTACTAAGTTTCGGCTATTTCCATTTTAAAACTCCTCAGTTGCTGAATTTTTTTCACCGGGACATTTTTGCGTAACTCTTTTGCTTTATAATTTAACCATGAATTAGTTGTAGCCAAATCAAACATGTGTGCGATATCGCGTTGTCCATTTTGCCGAGAAATCGAAGAAATTCTTCGACCACGACGGCCACCTCGACGCTTTAAGCTCCTCCCTCGCGTAACAGAAGAATTAGAAATCGCAGGACTTGAAACTGTGAGCTCACCTTCAGAATCAGAAGACGATTCTGCTGAATTGTCCGATTGACGATTTCGGCCCTGAGGTCAATAATCTACATCATCGATATCATCATCGCCGTCATCATCTTCGAACTCAGATACGTCCAGATTAAGCTGATTTTCTATACCTTCGTCGTCCATGGATTAAACAAAATAAAATAAAGTAAACACCCAATGTCCTAAAATCATGACATAGAAATTAGGCTAACTTTTACAATAAAAACCCACCGACCTTATTTTGGGACATAGTTTTTATCGTTCGAATATTACGGAATTAAAATGACTTTGCTACGAAAAAAAACATGTCGGAACAAAATATAATATATCCGCAACTGTTTGCAATACATATGCATTATTCGGTTCGCATGCTGTCGCGTCTAGTGCCAGCTCCAGACGCGCCCTGGCGACCTCCAGCACGTTCTATTCAATTCCATCATCCATTTTTGGGCGTCATTTAAAGGGAGACGCCCAGATTAGGCGCCGTTTCTTGGTGAGGTCATGTGCACAAGTGGGTCTTTGCACCTTCAATTTTTGCCGAGGCACGGCACTAACACCTCTTGGCTTGCCAAAGAAAAAAACCGCTACGTCAGCGCAGTCAGTCAGCACCTTGGTGCTGACTGACTGCGCTGACGTAGCGGTTTTTTCACATAACCGTTACGTCAGCGGGCGATGGGGTCATCACTACCCTATGCCATTTTATTATTATTATTATTATTATATAGGGTTTACTATGTAAATTATAAAAAGCCATTTTGTGACGTCCGCTATATTGGATTTAGAATGACGTCACTTTGCTTATTATTTTTTATTTATTTTTATTTTATTTATTTACATCCAACTTATATCTAACATTACAGGTTTCTACCCAAAGATAAAGCACTATTTACAATCCCATATTACTATATTAACTTATAGCTAATTATCCATAACGCAAGTTTTGTGAATTCGTACAGAGTACAAAAGAATAAATCTGTTTCTCTGTCGATCAGGTTTAATGTTCGAAACGCTCGCGTCAGGTGTGCCTCTCGCAGTAAGATAGTGCGACATCCAGGGAAGACCAGTAGGTCTGACTGACGCCGCCGCCATATATACCTAGCTGGAACACAAATATTAATCTTCTTCAACATATTCTCGTTAATAATCCTACCTCTAAGAACCATAAAAATATATGAAACTAGTCTAAGTTCTCTCCTTACCCTGAGCTGATTGTATCCCACCATACCCAGAACAAATAATGTGGGATATTGCAGTGGGTAAAATGGGTACACCCCATATAACTTAAGATACAAATACCTTACAAATTTGTTTTGTACTTTCTCCAGCATTAGATCGTACTTCTTCTCATGAGGAGCCCAAATTATTGAATTACACTCCAAATGACTCCGAACTAGTGTGTTGTACAAAGCTATAATAGCTTGCACATTTTGCTCATCGAGACCTCACATTTAATACCCTTATCATATGGTTACTATGGAAATTATTTATCGCCATTATGTGACCTCCGCCATATTGTGTTTAGAATAACTTCACTTTGCTTAATGTATTTCGTTTATCAAGTCTTTTCATTAGATACCCAAATCACAGAGGTTGCTGTGGAAATGATAAATCCGTAGACGGAGAAACCTATAGAGAAATTGACGCCTTCTTTCGCATTCGCACACGAAAAAGATAGATTTACGCATACATCTTGCATAGAAATGAGATAGAGCGGTGTGATTGTTTGTCCCTTCCTCCATGCCGGTTCTTTTGTTTAGCAAACTACACTTTGCTAAACAACTTTGACAGTTCGTAACGATCTAAGGAGTTTACAAGTTGGTTTAAGTGAGAAAAAAATGTTTAGTGAGCTTAAGATTGGTGAAACTTGTTCAGTTCAGTTTATTGAACAATTAAAATTTTTATCTAAATATGTTTAAAAGTCATAAAGATTATTGTATAACCTAAAACTACGCTATCATCCTTACTCACTCGAGGCCACACTTATCATTAGTCTATAGGTTTCTCTGTCTACGGATAAATCGCTATTTCATAACGTCCGCCATAATTGATTAGAAATTCGGGCAAACAAGTAATCCTGCATTGTTTCGAGAACCAAATGTGTTTGCCAAATTTTTTGTTCATAAACAAAAAATTTGAAACACAAACACATTTGTTCTCGCAAACTTTTTTAACTAAAGTTATGACTTTAGTTAAAAAAGTTTGCTTCAGTGAAAGTACGTGTAATATTGATAGCGAAATTCCAGGACATGCATGCAAGTGAAGTTAAATAAAAGCTTATAATTTTAATTAATATGTGACAAAAAAGCGAGTTTCTTTCGCCATTTCCTTTCCAGTCAGAAGGAACTCAATCCGAAACGATGTAAGATTATAAATGCTCATAGTTAGCTTGAAGAACCGACAAACTATAGCGAAGAAAAAGTTCTCGAGTGGCAGCCTTAGCGCGATCCACTCGATGAACGCAGGAAGCCGGTCCTAACCTTGAGGCATGCTTAAGGCGCTACCTCCAGCGAACGACCTTGAGCGTTTGGTCTGTCGAAGCTCGCTACAATATATCGCGTAAGAAATCGCCAAAAGACGCCACCTACTGCTACGAACGTAGTATTATTTTTTCGATGTCAATGAACTATTCTATGGAAATAGACACGGCGTACAATGATAAATGTATTTTAATTTTCTTTATTCGGTATGTTAGTTGCATTATATTAGAATTATGTATTCTAATATATTCTCTAATTAATAAAAAAGACTATTTCGATTATTTTTAACTATGTACTATACTGCTAATATTGAATTAGCTTTTTATAGTGTAAATTATAATATTTGTCGAATTATTAATTATGGATTCGAACTTACATGCTAATGGTGCTTCATTTTTGTTATTTTCATTTACTTACATATTGAAAATATACTTGAATAGTAGGTATTATTATTTTTTTTAGCTACTGAATTTTAGGATATGTTTTACCTTGAGGTCAAATACTCCTCTAATGTCTCCTCAAAATTGAGGAGCAATAGTTATTACCTACTAATCTTTTATCTGCTATTAAATTGAGTTTGAGGGAGATTTACTGTTTATAATGCTACATTTATTATTTTAATATTTACCTACTGAGTAGGTAATTATTAAAATAATAAATTAACATTAGTAACTAAATAGATATATTTTTTTAAATTTTTAAAATTAAAATTTTCGTATTTTTAAAAATTACTAAAAAAAGGGTTTGAAATAATAGATTTTCTCACAAAAGAAGGGAACTTGAAAAAAAAAGGAAAAAAAAAGTGGGACCAAAGCCAAGACGCGAACCACGGAACTCCGATATCACGCCCGATCGACATACCACCTGAGCTATAACGACCGTTAGTGATTTGTCGAAATTTACCTTCTTATATTGTAGCAGTTTTTTATTGCCTGAAAACATGCACAAAAGGACATTTTCTAAAAATAAATCCAAGCGTTCGTCGCTAAAATCGTTGGAGCCGTATAATTTTGTCATCTGGTTCGCTTATATAAATATTTAAATATATAAAAATTATAAATTAAAATGAAAAGATAAATATACATAAATATCAATAAAATAAAATAAATACAAAATAATATTATATTATTACTGTTATTATTATTATTATAAGTTGTGGTTCGGTGAAGCTGCAACCTAATGGACCATGATCTGAAATTTTTATGAAAAGAAGTGGCTGACGTCAATTATTATTATTCTTATTATTTTTTAATTACTGCCTTTTTCAACCTCACAAGATATTTGTAACTGCAAAAAAAGAAAACTACGTATAAGTAAGTAAATCAGTAATATAGTGTTATGTATGATTCAGACTAAATAAAGGTTCCTAAAAATAGACGAAGATAAAGAAATTGCATAAAAAATTACTCAAATAAAAATGCAATAAACTTGTTAATTTTATAGGTACTTAGTAAAATATTAAAATAATAAGTTTTTTAGGATATTTATGTAAAACATAAAGGTTATATTATGTTCTAACTACGTTCACGCTTGCGCATATAAAACCGCGCAATTTCACTAGTTTTATTATCTAAATAATAATTGACAACCCTACCCTAAGTTTGCCTTGATTTTACCAACTCAAACTCGTTTTAGGAGATCAAAACATAGAGAGAAAGATAGGAGACTATTTTTTATTTAATATGGTTGGATCTTTATTTATTTGTATATTTTTTGTATTTATTTTATTTTATTGATATTTATGTATATTTATCTTTTCATTTTAGTTTATATTTATAAAAACCAACCAGATGAGAAAACTATACAGATACCCCAACAATAATAATATAATAATAATAATATTCCACAAATATCACACAACGCCATCTAGTCCCAAGCTAAGCAGAGCTTGTGTTATGGGTACTAGACAACTGATAAACATACTTATATATTTCTAAATACATAAATATTATAGATAAATTACACCCAGACACAGAACAAATGATCGTGCTCATCACACAAACATTTGTCCTGGGTGGGAATCGAACCCACGATCTGCGGCATAGCAGTCAGGGTCACTAACCACTAGACCAACAGGCCTGACGATAAATAAAATAAAGTCTCTAGCTCGAGAGGAGAGGAGCCGTGGTAGCTCAGATGGTTAGCGCTTGCTAAAATTTTCACAGTGTGCGAGCAAACCGGGTTCGATCCCCGCCGGCACCAATAATATTGTAATTGCAATTTTAAGTGTTGATTTACCACGTGCTCAGTGGTGAAGGAAAACATTGTGAGGAAACCTGCATGTCTGAGAAATAAGAAAAAAAATATTTCGAAGACATGCAAAGTTCGCCAACACGCAGTGATATTTCCTTTCCTAGGACCCTTTCAGAAAATAGAATAGAAATAAAAAAAATAATAAATCCAAACTTCATTTAAAACCAAACATATAAATTGTAAAGTAGCTGCAGGTATCTATAACCAAGTAAAAGATATTATTATATTATATTTACTCCAACTTGTCCATGTTTCCCAAAACAATTTTTAATTAAGCTTTATATTATAATGCGGATTTTTTTATATTTAAAATTTTAATAATAAAGCATTTCGTACGTCTCAGCCGAGGCGCAAATATTTTTCGGCCGTAAATTTATAAGACCGATTTGTTATTCAAACATAAACATGGTTTTTTAATTAAATCTACCAATCATAAAACGACACGCATTTTTATTGAACACTTCCTATTCAATTCACAAAGTACCTATTATATATTTGTTTATATAAAAAAAGTATATTTAAGTACAATCATAAAACTAAATGGAAACACAAAGTAGGAAAATGCATTGAGTTATAAAACACATAAATCAATGGGCAAATGTAAAAATGCTGGAGGCAGGCATCCCTATCGCATGTTTACGTACCGCACGGCTGTAAGATTTATTTCTAAGATACGGCCGAGTTACAATATACCGTGACGTAAGCGCATCGGTTGGTAGGTACTCAAATAATATTATGTTTGCGGCGAAATACGGACCGCGGCGACCAGCGACGCGGTAGCTCAGATGCCCGCACTCTGCGCACGCCCTTTTTATCATAGAAGTCACACAATTTTCGGAATTATTTCAATTAAAAGAGAAAAAACGAACTTAACAATTTAAATAAAACGTGGAGAATATAGATTTTTTAATTATCTATCCATTAGTGTTATCCTCAAATGATTAGAGCGTTGCGTTTAGCAACAGATGCATGTAATCAAGAATTTTAGTCATTTTTTAAAAGTTGATTTTAAATGTATTTATAGCACATAAAAATAAATTAGAACGTGGAATGCGATGATAAGATATCGAACATTAATAATGTACTTTTAGATGTAGTTTATTTTTCATAACTAATGAGATAATAGAGTCTGAAAAACGCACTTTCGCAACATTTTGGTCAGGGATTCACCTTAAGGAACTAGGAACAATGGTAATTTCGTTTTCTAGTATTGAGTACAGCGCTATCTCTACCACAGATTTGGAAAGAAAAATAGTGTGTTACTATATAAAATATTATACAATTAAGATGCCGGGAGATTGTGACAAACACAAATAAGTAAATAATACAATTGTCGCAAATTTTGTACAAAAAATGATTAAAATAAAATTAAGAACTTAAAAGTAAATGTATGAAAATGTTGAACTGTTTTGGAACGCAAAATATTTTTGTCAACTTTTGTTAATATTGGGACATTATTATTATTGCACTGGTAACTTTTCAATTGCAAATGTCTCTCTGCGTAGGAGTACGTATTTTGGCTTTGCAATTAGATTCTAGTTTCTCTAGTAAATATGCAGTAATCTATGTTCTGGTTGTTTCGCGAGTGCATCTGTTAACCAAGTTGAGTTGAACCTCTTTTCTCCGTATTTCCTCTGTTTTGTACCTACGTCCACATTGAGTTGAGACCTCCTCCGTGCCGTCGTTTCGGAAAATAAACTCGTGAAGTTTCCGTGAATTACATTAGCAGAAGCACTCTATAGTTTGGACCCTTAATTGCGAATAGTGAACAATGTGAACAGCTTCTATAATGTTACAGAACTCTTGTTGAGTGTCTGCTGACGAAAAATGATGGTATGTATTTTTTGGACTATGTATGTATTATATTTCACATCAAACTCCTGTATTTCTATTGTACAGTGCCTGGCACGGATCTAAGCGCTGTGCGAGGGAAGTTTGTACATTATAAGGAAATATAAGGGTTCGACTGAAAAGTCATTTCTGCACAAGTAAAGGTCAGGTGTTGGCTATGGACGGTTAAAATTTCCAATATGGACCATCGATATTTGAGATTTTTGGGGGGAGGGGGGGAGGGGGGAGGGAGGGCTACCCCCCTGTGCCATCCCCCCCCTGCGGAACCCCATGGTTACGGAGATATTCAAGGTTAAGTGTCTGATGAAATGGAGGGCGGGGATATGGGATAGGGGCGGTAAAATGAACTAGATTAAATTAAGGTAAGGGTGGGGATTACGGGAGGGGGGGAGGGGGGTTGTTTGGGGGGGGGGGGGGTTGTTGTTTTTTTTTTGTTGATGCGCCCGAAGAAATTTAGGGCAACCCTCCGGAAAGCGGGGGAGGGAGGTGGGGAATGACGCGAGCCTCCTTGGCAGAAAGGAGGGTGCAAGCGGCGAAAAGCCGCTTATAAGTGTGCCTAACTAAGGCAGATTAAGAGATGGGTTAAGTAGGCTAGGGACTATAGCGAGTGTGAAGAGGGGCAAGAACGATGCGAAAAACAAAAGACTCACCGACAGCAACTGCGACGGCTACGGGGACCGGAGCGCTGACTGCTTGACACGACCGCTCGAAAGCGATGCGGCAAGCAGAATGGAAGGTGAAACTAAAATTACTAAACCTTATTCTATTCTATATACATATCTAATAGCACTTATTAACTCTTCATAGGCATCTAAGTGGTTTGTCATAATCCTTCGTCTCCATAGGTACTCGCACAACCAATCTGTAAAATTATGCTTGTGTTGGTGTTGCCTAAATTGTTTTTTTAAGCCTCTCCACTGGCTCTCAATGCGCTGCGTGTGTGTCCCGTCTGGAGCCACAAATTTCTCTGTTGGGTCGCTATGGTTTACACTTTTATGGATATATCCATGCTCAGGAAGGCTTAGATATGCTCTCCAACAATCTGTGTGAATGATGGAGCCTTCCTGGACAAGTTTTTTTATGAGTGGCACCAATATATCTGCAGACCTTTCGTTATCTGGACACACCTCAAGCCGCAGATCGTCATTGCCATCTTCGATCATGCCAATAACCCAATGTCCTTCAATATGTCTCCCACGGTTAAACTTCCTTTTACCAAATTTCGATTCATCTATTTGAACCACTTTATTAGGGCCACCTATCTTCCCTTGGGCCCTTTGATTTTCCAGTTCAAAAATGGAAATTGTTTCCCGGCAATAACTAAACCAGTCAGCCACAGTTCTGGCAGAAACTACTAGGCCATCATCACAGGCTAGCTCCTTCCTCGTTTGGTTGTAAGACAGTCCCTCACTAAATGCATACATGATTTGAAATATTAAAGTGAGGGACAAGTGTGCGTTTTCAAACCAGGTCCCAATAGCACGAGAAACTGTTTTGGTGCGGCAGTTGCTTTTCCGGCATCTGAATTTTCCCACTTGCCCTGCTTCCTTTGTCAAAATCATTGGCTTCCGGTGGTATGCGCAGATTTTGTCTACTGGGATGAGTCCTCTCTCCTCCGCAAACTGAACACACTGTTCATGTGTACCCAATTTGGAGAAGATTTTTCTCCAGTTCCACATGGATCTAAAAAAAAGGTAATGTATGTGTTTTGAAAATTATATTTAGATACAAATTACATACTAAATATGAATAGGTAATACTTTTTGATCTTATCCACATAATAGAAAAAACTGAACTGCTTATTAGAATAAAAATTTATGAGTGCAATTAGTTTATTTTATTTATTTATTTTATTAAGAAAACCAACAGCTTTACAAATTATATATCTTATAACTATGTTTAATGTATGTAGTAATGCCAATAACAGGTTTTCCTTAAATTGACAAAGGGCACTGTAACAATCAAACTTTGTTAGTGCTAAAGTTAACTCTATAAATATTACAAGGAATTCAAGAATACCATCCACTTAAACCTATCAATATTATAGATAATTAAGTAATTACTCTAAACTATATGTATACATGTTTTCGAAAGTAATATATAAATACCACCCATCATAGACATACACAGAGATAATGACACAAGATAAAGACAATAAATGACAAAAAAGTTTAATTAAAACTTTATTAAAATTCCAACAAGATTCAAATTGGATCAATTCAATTCTTTATTACATAACTTAATCTATTATATGGCATAATTACGGTTGGAGCTTCCTTTTAAAAATAATAGAAAATTAGTTATAAAATTATAGAAGTATAAATTAAAAATTTGATTAATTATACGCCCTTTTATAACCTGATCTAACATAACAATGATAATGTACAGTAATCATAACATAAATCAAAACTTACCTTATCTCATCTGAGTAAAGGTTAAGCCTTCTGCCAGATGACCCAGTAGGTCTGGGCATCGCAGCAGCAAATTCCTCGCCCTCGTCCTCCGAAGAACTAGCAATAGCTGATAGGCTACCACAAGAACCAGCTGCTCCACTGGGACCAGACATCCCACTAGGACCAGCAACCGGTTCGTCAAGGACCGGGAATCGCACACACGGGAGCACAAGCGGCTCATTTGAGTCCAACACTTGCACTTGCGTAGTAGTAGGCACAAGCGGCTCTATTGAGTCCAACACTCGCGCACTACTTGAAGACGGCGCAGAAGAGGAAGCCGTGACAAGTGGCTCATTTGAGTCCAACACTTGCACTTCACTCAACTCTTCAGACACAGAAGTCGCCATGGTAGTCAAATGTTGTAAGCTTGCAGGAGTACGTAAAACGATCTCAACTGCAAGGGCAATGGTCGACAATGGTGTCGTTTCGCGGTTCTTTCTAAGCAGTGTAAAACAAATTTAGTGATCCGCAAAAAATATCGATACCTGATTAGTATCGATACTTTCATTTCAGTACCAAGTATTTTTGTACTCGATACACTTTTTACGAATAACAATTCTTTAGCTAAATTATCAGCAATTTCATTGCCCTAATTCCCGCAGTGGCTAGGGATCCAGGCCAATACAATGTTCAGCCCTTTTTATGACATTAGTACAGAGACTTTCTAATATTTAAAATTAGGGGGTAAGTATCTAATCTTAGAGTGCAAAGGACTAGATACAATACTTTAAAGGCAACTAAGTTTATTGCTTATACGTGGGGGGGGGGTAAGAAGCCGGGAAGTTGTGCTCCGGCGCTCCGTGGCAGCTCCGGCGCTGCGGGATGAGCAGTGCCTCCGCCCTAGCGTAGGGAAGCACAGGCACCTGAGCTCGCCTTCGCAGCTTCGGCTTCTTGGTCGCCTTCGGCGACCAGCCTCAGCCGCTACGGCGATCTCGGTGCCTGCACTTCCCTACGGCGGGCGGGCACTGCTCTCCCTCCGCGCCTCCGGGCTCTTATATACACTCTAGGGGTAGGGCAGACAAGACCACGTGGACAGTGGGGTGCTTTGATTCGGTTTTGGGTACTTTTTGGATATTAAATAAGTAAGTCAATAAGTAAGTAAATACTTTATTGTAGTAGGAATTAGATAATACAGAAAGTTGCAAACAATAAAATAAAAATACAAAAGCTGTACTAATTAAGAAATACAAACAAGTTGCAAACAATGAAATACAAGTACTAAGGCGGAACTTAAATAGAGTAAACTTTATTCTACTTTGTATACATATATAATTGCACTTATCAGCTCTTCCTATGCATCTAATGAGTTTGTCATAATTTTTCGTCTCCAAAATTAACGAAATGTACTCGATACCAAGTAGTATAGATACTTTTGATACGATACTTGGTATCGAGTAGGTATCGATACTTTCAAAATATTCGGAACTCTACACTAACTGACGTTTGACATCAATCATTTGTCAAATTTATTGTGTAATTGCGTGTTATTTACCAATTTGATGAAAAGTTTAAAAAAATATATCTCATGAACCGTAAGTTTCCGCAACCTAAAACTTTGCAAAACGCTTTCTTTTAGTGAGTACTATCTACAAAAAACATATGGGCTTTGAAATCGATGGTCCATATTGGAAAGTTTAGCCTAACATGAACGCACACGGCGTAGGCAGAGACTATAGACTTCCATTTAGCACGATCTGACACCTCTCTTGCCTCCTTCACATCCATATACCTACATATACATGCTTGTTGGTTAAGGCTACTCTTAATTTGGCCCATTTTCAATATATTGCCAATTTGATCAATAAACTTTTGCCTAGGATATCCCTTTCTGACTCTACCATTCACTTCTGCAACAAATTTTGCTTTGTCACTTGTTCCTCATTCATTTTTTCTACATATCCAAACCACCAAAGCAATCCTTTCTTAATCCTGTTTGCATCATTTTGCAAACCATACTTATCACATATTTTCTTACCCTGTCACTCAGATTCAGATCTAACATACTCCTTAATGACCACATTTCTACTGTGTTTATTCTACTCTCATGCTTCCTCTGCCACACCCAACTTTCACTACCATACATTAAATAGAGATAGATTAACACAGCATTATGAAATTACTATACATGCCTTTTTTTACAAATTTTGACTCCATAATAGAGTTTAGAGCCCCATTTACTTTATTTCCTGTGTTCACTTGTCGTTTTTTAATAATGATTTGTTAATACACAATACACAGGTATTCAACCTAGTTCAGGCAGGTAGCTAATATTATAAACTTGACTTTTTATTTTTCTTTTGTATAATCTACATTATTAAGCTACACATAGTTTTAATTTTATCATAGTATGTTATTTTTGTTAGACTTATTGTTACTTTATTTAATTGTAATCATATTTATTCCTGTACGTAAACAAGTGTAATTGGAAATGAAATAAATATTTATTATTTATTATTATTATTTATACCTATTAATACAATTCTGATACAAATTAAACCATTTATTTAATACAAACATATTTTTATCAACCTATCACCATTAGTATCTATTCTTACCTACTAAATCCACATTAAATTTATTTTTTCATATTTGAAACTTGATAATATAGCTTAACATAATCAGAAACATATTGATTATATATCAAATGATAAGGCTGAAATAAAAACATAAAATTATATTTACAGAGAACCAAAAATCTGTTTTTTTTATGAAAGAAATTAAGAGAAAACAAAGTCTTTTATTTTAAATTACAGCAATGCTACTGTTGTTGTATTCTGTATGGAAATCTTAAAACAATAATATTAATAGCTGCTGAAAACTCTCAATTGTTATGTTGCTATTTGGGACATTGCATTTGGTTCTTACTTTATTTTCAGATGCTCCATATATTGATCATTTCTTGTTGGTATAGTGTTGTTGCTGGGGAATCAAGTTGTGATTCTGAAATGAAAATAAATATTTTAAAATGTTAAAAGATTTTAATGCATCCCATCTCTGTAAAGTAATGTATTATAAATTAAAGACAAAATTAAAGATAAAATCAATTAAGTTTTAATCCATCACAAGTCATTAAGGATGTTTAAGATTTATTGAAACATCTATATTATTTACACTAAGAGATAACATGAATGACATTAATTTATGTAAATTATTGCAATTAAAAAATGATAGGTTACCTTTGAGTGTAAGGCATACATATTGCAAGTTCTTTAGGAGTGTCCTTTACATTAGATATTCCTAGAAAAATTAGATAATTAAAAAGTCTGTCCTTAAAACTGAGTAAAAAATAGTTATTATTGTTATTAGATGCCACACAAAAGTAAGTTGGGTCTCCAAAAACAACACTGTTGACCACCTGTGACTGCTTTTTCAGGGTTACCTGTACACCGGTTTCTAAATCCAGACATAAATACAGAAAAATTCAATAGGTGGATTTCCAAAATAGGAGGTCATGTAGCTACAGTGATCGCTTTAGATGTTTATAGCAACAGATGTGTCTGTCATAAGCATTGAGAAGACATTAAAAAGTATCCAAGAAGTAGATTGTCCAAATTAGCAATTCCTGAACTTTTTTACCAGGTAACATCTTAATTTCATTATTACATCTTAATATTATCTTTATTAAAAATTAAAAATAATGTAATATGAAATAATAACATTGCATGCATTCTTGTTTTGTCTTAATTAATATTACTAAATGTGAAACAGAGACAGAAATTTATTTATAATAGCAGATAGGGATCAACAATTATTTGTTTTTAACTTACATAATATAAATAGTTAATGCCTAGTTTTGAAAATGTGAATGCCATGTGTGGTCTGTGAGGACTGTGTGCACTGCGAGCACTGTGAGGTCTTGGATTCAATTCTCAGGTTGGGCAAATTGTTAGCTTTTTATGTATAGTGGAATAAATGTGAAAGTGTGATTTTGCACAAAAAGAGGTATAATTAATCCCCAACAAGAACAAAGGGTCGATTTGTCTGTGACATTGTAGCTCCCAAGTTGATGAACAAATTTTGATTTAGTTTTTTTTTGTTTCAAAGGTGACTTGATCAAGAGTGTTTAGCTGTTTAAATATCATCAACTCATATATTTCGCGCTGGGTGTTTTTTAAATTTTAATAGAGGGTTATTTCTAAATCAGTGTGATGGGTAGTTTGAGCTTTAATTTAAAATGTTAATGACGTTTTCTCCAGCTCAAGCAGCTACTGTTGTTGAATTAACAGCACCTGCCCACCTTTTAATATTGAATATTCAAGAGACTCAATCAGATGTACAAAGGAGAGGTTCATATCTTATTTATGAAGTGACTTGTAGCAAAAAAAGTTAAAAATAAGCTACTTGTTAGTAATAACCTAAAGGAGACGGGCGAATTTGGGCCTAACGTTACACAAGTGAAATATTTATCAATATTTTTTTAAATTTTTTATTGTAGTTAATAATGAAATATTAAGCAATTTTATCATGGCAAAAGAAATTAAATACTTAATAAGAATAATACTGACTTCCGTTATTTTTATTTTTAAATAATGCTGCCAGATGAAATAGGTTAGTTAATCGATTTTAATACAAAAATAGAAAAAAGACAATAAAAAGTTATTCAATCTTTTCTTCTTTAGATAAGTTTAAGAAACTTCTTATTTAAATAATGGTTCCCTCGTGACACCTTAACATTTCAAAATAGTTGTAAAAATAAATAGACTGAATAAATTAATAAATCGATTTTACAATCGATTATCAATGTTTTATACAGGCCACAAAGCGGAAAGTCAACGTTAATTTAGAAACTAAAAACGTCACTCAAATCATTTGTTACTTTTGTTCACAGAATACTTTTTTATATCGGGAACTTTTGTTTGGCTCTAAGTTTGCGGTGGTAGTTAATATTTTCTGTTGTTTTTCTGTGCTGTAATAATATTCCCATCTTTAACGACTCTGGCTACGTATAAAGGATTCTGATGGTTTCTTTTCTGATTTTACAAGAATACATGTTTACACAAAAATCGAGACATACACTTAAGCTCAAAAACATATTTTACATACATTTTAGTTGACAGTCATCTTAATGAAAGAGAGATTATCAAACAGTATTATTTCAATTATTTGGTAGGAAAAAGAACTGTAGGTTGCTGTTGTCATGTAATGTCCATAATATGGTACCTAAGCTGGGCAAGGCGTCAAGAGAATTTAATACCACCTGCACCGTTTTAGATGATATTTTATTTGTTTATGATGAAGTGGACGATTAATAAATCATTAAAAGAGAAAATGTTCTTAATTCGTCTTCCTTCTGCTTTGTTATAATTATTTCAAACTTCTATAATTTAGTTGGACGGCGGCGTCTGAA